GACGCGCTGGTGGGGCGTGGGCCGCTTACTTGGGTGGGCCGCTCACTTGTGAACCACGTTATACGTCTAAATTCCGTCCCTGTGTGGCGAAAACCCCCGTGTGCCGAAAATGACCAATCGGAGCATGAGGGTCGTAGTGAAGTCCGTGATCCTTACGATCCGATTGGTCATTTTCGGCACACGGGGGTTTTCATCACACAGGGACGGACTTTAGAGAGGTGCGCAAAGTTGGTGGGGTGCGCCGCTCGCTTGTAAACTACGTTAACTAGTTCAAATATAGAATAGCGTCTGATTTATTTCCGACACGAAAAGTTCCGAATAGCTTGATAAGTGATCATCTAGCAACGTCGTATGATCAACTGCAGGTATAACCCATAACGTAATTTGGCAAGTATGTAGCATACTAGACTTAACTGTCGCTAATTTGTCCTATCTACCTGTACTCTCTCTTCTAGTTATCAGTCCTTATCCATGTGTTTATATTGAAACTATTTTTCGACATGATTCCACTCTGGAAACTCTTCAACCTCTACTCAACTAAGGCTAATCCTCTTGCCTATTCTATGTTGCTGTCGCCTGACGAGAAGAATGATGAGCATGCCGCCATTCCTGCAGAGTGTACAATGACTACGGCTACTCTCGGGAATCGGTTGTGGAAGTGGTCAGCAATAGCGGGGCTACTGGGCATAATCTTTACTACATCTGGCTTGGTCTACTTCAGCCGACCCCCAAGCCTGCCCGACGTCCTCCACTGTGGTTCAACCCCAGATGAAGCCCGTTCACTAGGCTGTGTGTATAGCCTTGTAGATGTTCGCTGGGTGCCCGCTCCTTGCTACGATGCCGAAATGGACAATGAATTCATCAGTCACGGGTGGACACGCTGGTACGACAGAAACGCCACCCGAGAGATGACCCTGGACATTGCCAAGCAAGGAGAAACCGAATACTGGGTAACAATGGAGTACCACATAGTACATTGCCAGTACACATTTAGGCAGCTACGCAGAAGGTATTGGGACGCTGCTAGGCAGGTTAGATATATCTCTTCTAGTAACTATCTCACCGAAGACGAGCATTTCTTCCATTGCTTAGAATATATGGACCCACGGATCCCGCAAGATCCTGATCTCGTCATTACACTTTCCGAAGTGGGCTTTGGTACATGTCAGGTTCCACAACTCAAAGCTGACCGTTTGATGTAGCGTTTCAGTGTTAAAAGCTGTAAGCAGTTAGGAGCAGGAGTTGAAGTGAATGTCTATCCACGTGTGGCGAAAAGCGCCTTTTGCGGAAATGGATTTAGTTATCAACAAAGTGTCATAAACTCCTTCCTAGATGTTGTCTTGGGGTACTATTAACATGCCATCATTCCTCAGACACATATATTCAAAGTCTATGCGCGACTATGAAAGCCCTATGCTTCTAACTAGCTAGTTACCAGACATGTCAACAATTCGTCAGTTTCCCGTTAATTATCGTGTTTTACAAGCGAGCGGCGCGTACAAGCGAGCGGCGCACCCTACCAACTTTACGCACCTCTCTTATCTTATTCTAACGTCCGTCCCTGCGTAACGAGACACCCTGCGTGCCGGGACCGGCCAATCAGCTTACTTAAATCACGGACTTCTGCTCAGAATCTGCAAGCTG